TTACCTATGGGGGGAAAAGCACTACCAACCTAAAAACAAAACTGTAAATATAAAACAATACTATCAAGCCATGCACCACTAATACTGGCACTATAGTCAGTTATACACTCACCTGATGACTCAGAGACCAGGGATATGGCACATTTGCTGTACTACAAGATACTCAAAAACCATTATAATTTAAGATTGATGGGTCTTCATACTTAAAGCTCCACAGTCTAGTAAGTCAGGGGAAGCTTAAAAAATACAGCTGTATTTCTATACTTAGGGCAGGAGTTGGCAAACTTTTTTTGTAAAGGGTCAGACAGTAAGTATTTTAGGCTGCGTAAACTATATGGTCTCTGCCGCAGCGCAACAACTATGCCATTGTAGCAGGAAAGCAGCCATCGACAAGACGTAGATTAATAGGTGTGACTGTGTTCCAATAAAACTTTATCTGTAAAAGGTAGCAGGCCAGGTTTGACCCATGGCTGGTGGTTTGCCAACCCTGTTTCACAGATACAGGGTGCACGGACATGTTAAATATGCATGCATGTCTGTATATGTACATTAGCAGACCAAATCTCTGCTTGCCTATCCCGTAGCCAGGGCAGCTTCACAGGCAGGTAACAAGAGCAGTCACATAGGGCTTCCTGTTCAGAAAAGCCCTGTGCTTGCAGTTTAATGCCCTGTGGTTGAAGTCTTAAAATTCTTAATAATTTTATCTTGGAATATGTGTTTTATAAGTAAAGTCTAATGGGACAATGGAACATTCCCTGGGAGCTGGGAGCTTGATTCTCCTGCAGCCCTGCCTCTCCACTGCCTTCCTGCAGCCTAGGGCAGTTCTCAGACACTTCTTCCCCACTCAGCTTCCTTCTTTCTGGCCCCAGTGACTATTGCTACCCTCCACCCAGGGTGGAGACTAGGTCATGTTGGTTGTGGGAGTAGGTAGAGGGGAGGTGTGTCTTCTGCCCTTGCTTTTTGCTGCTGGTGGGTGGCAGGACATGAACCTTGGTATGCACACCCCCGACCATCCTTGCCTCAGGATGGCAACAACACAGTGCACTCAGCAGGCAGCTTGGGGCCGAGCCTCTTGCACACCCCTAATACAGGTACCAAGCGTGTTCTAGCGCAATCTCTTGGAGGTCACTGGTCTGGAGGCCTTGGGAAGGGAAGGCTGACTCCCCCACCCCCAGTTGGGTCACAGTGTATAGGTCCAGTAGCTGGCAGAAGGGGAAACTCAGAAGTAGCTAATGGGCCACATGTGCATGCCCAGCCATGGGGCAGATCCCCAGGCACTTGCGGGGAGTCTGTACTTGTCCATGAGTATCCCTGTGCCGGAGGGAACCTGACATTTCAAGAGCAAACAAAAAACACCATGACAAGTCAAGAGAAAGACTGCAGAAGAAAGAAAAAAGTTTTGTATTTTGGTACCTTTACCAGCCTTTTTTTTTTTGTCTTTTTTGAACAAGAGGCCTGTATTTTCTTTTTGCTCTGGGTCCTGGTCAAAGGTTAAGGGATAAAAAGAATCATCTTCTGAGATTCATCTATCAAAATGGAGGTTGACAAAGAAAATTCCACTCATGCATCTTTCAGTTCAGAGTCAGCTAACCCTTGTAATGCCAGGGTAAAGCAGGCTTCCCGCAACATTCCTAACTCTCAAATGTACAGCTCTGAAATTATTATGCATTTTGGTTTCAGACTCTAAGGGGCTGCTTTCTGGATATGATAATCCAGAATGCTGCATGGTAACCATTTCTCCTAAAGAGTTTGCTACAGGATTAATTCATATTTCTTTAGAATGACTACAAGGCATCCAATAAATATAGGGCACAATCAAAATATTATATATGAAATTTAATAAGACAACAATAGGCAAAGGAAGTTGAAATTTTACTGAGATTTCCCTTTATTTCCTACTGTAACAAGGCAATACCATAGCATTCTAACATACAAAGGTATATCTATTTTCCTGATTTGAATAAATCATCTACAAAACAAGTATTTCTTAAGACAGTCAAGGAAATTTGAATATGGGCTGGGCATTATATGATATTAAAGAATTATTGTTAATAATGTTACGTGTGATAATGACAGTATTTATGTAAACAATTCCCTTTATAGATACACACTGAAGTTCTGATGGGTGAAATAACATAACGTCTGAAAACTGCCTTAAAAACTTCACTAAAAGATGAAGAAGAGCTGGAGGAAGAAGACAGAGAAGAAAAGGAAGAGGAAGAAGAACAAGAGGATGACAAAGAAGACAAGGAAGACGGAGAAGACAAAGTAGAGTGAGAAATGTGACACAGATAGAATTAGATGGGCAAAATGATGAACCTAGGTGATGGAAATGTGGGAATCCATTGCAATATTCCCTTTACCCTTATATGTATTTTTAAATTTCCATAACAGAGTGTTTATGTGTGCGTATCTATGTATGTATGTGCTTTATATGCGTGTATGTGTATGTGTGTGTATACACGTTGCCTACAAAATATTTCTAATAAAAATCGGGGCACAGATTTCTTATTCTCCATACCAAATATCTTTTTTTGTGTGTGCAAAAAGCATCCTCTGAGGTTGACAGGAGCTCTCTAAGCTGAAGAGATACAAAGGAGTTGATGGGAAGGATAACCCAACCATCAGTTCCTGACACAATGTAAAAAAGAAAAGGAGAAACGGGGAGGAATAGACTGCCATTGTAACTCTCCTAACCTTTCCTTCTAATTACGCCAGAGTCATGGCTCAGGTCACAAGGAAAATGATTTTGGTGGTCAACCATTTGCCCTATTTTGTCTACATCAAAAAAGCTCTTGTTCTCACCACATTCCAATCTCACAGTTTCCCACTTAGTTTATAAATGTATCAAGTGGTGAGGTTAACTACAATATGGGTAAAGTGACTATATTATGAAGGGAACCTTGTTTGTAAACCTAGAGGTATCCTTCCTGTTGTTCTGAATTGCATGATATAGAGCACTTACAAAATTAAACACACTTTATATTGTTTTAGGTATTTCAGACAAATGCTGAGCATGCTCAGCTTTTAAAAGTTAAATGTAAATTTCTCTCTTGAGGGCAGATGGTGGCCAAGCAATGTAGCTCTTTGGTCTTACAGACAGAAGGTCAGGTCATGGCTGAAAGACCAAAGAACAATCACTGCTTTGGTAGTCCAAATCATCCATGGAATGAGACACCACTACTTTCTTTTCTGAAACTGTCTGTTCAATACAAAATAGTTACAAAGAGTACCTAGAAGATTTCCTTACTTTCTGTGCAAGAAAAAAGGTAACATCATAAACATCTTGTAAGTGTTCAGGGGTTTTATTCCTAATGCTATGACCCAAAAAGGCATATCTCCATGTAAAAAAAACTTAATAAAAACCATTATGAAAACTGCTAATGGTTCACTATTGATCAGGAAATTTTTACAAAGGAAAACTGCTCTTTTTAAAATCCTGCCACTTTAGCTTTCATACCATTACTGGTTAATTAAAATGAAATATAGTGCTAAAAAATATTGCTAAGACTTCTAAACAGATTATCCATTTACAAGTGATATAATATTCTTATAGTTCCTATAGGGTTTTTTTCTCTAGAAAAGTATAATGTAATTTTAAATAACTCAGAGAATTTTTCTTGCTGTATTTTTTCTAGTTAGTCCAAAATTTTATGCTGGCAGAATGCTGTAAAATACTACAAAAGGAATGTAATAATGCCAGTGAGTATGCCAATATAATACCTTCTATAAAACAATTATATTAAATCGGGAAAGAAAAGTTCTCTGTATTTGATTTGGTAGTCCTAGGCCTTCAGCACAGTAGAAAGGATTTTCAATTTCTCTACCAGGCACGCCCCCAACTGGATCAAATAAAATAGTTTCCCTATTTGTACATGGTAACAATGAAAAAAATCTTCTGAAAACTAAAACCTTATTATAACACTTTGAATATAGTGGTACAAATGAAGAGCTTTATTTTAGGTGTCTAGATTTTAATTTAGTGGCAAGGATTTCAGTTACAACTTGAATGGTTTTTGGTACTAAATTTCATTTTCATATCACTTTCATTTTGAATATTTTTCTCACTGTTTTCACATTATTTGTCATAAAGAGTTGATTAGGTTAAAGGGAAAATGTGTTTAAAAAATATGATAAAAATCATTGAACTAGAAATATATTTAAAATAAATCTACTTGGGGCTACATACTTTAGTATGTAGTAAATTACTGTAGTAATTTCTTTAAAATATTGACACTGGGAACTCAATCTTACTATTTTAATAAGAATAAACAATCTGCTTTCATTGAATATTAAAAAAGTGAGCCTTCAATGTTCTCTATTGTCTCGTAAAAACAGTAAATCGGAAGTCAGTTTATTAGAACTGCCTCTCCAAAAACTTGATCCATGTTGTCAATTAAAATCGGAGTATCTAAATGATCCCACCAAAGATGTAACATAAAACATCTGCTCAAACCAAAATTGAAGTAAGTTGCATTTTTTCCCTAACATTTGTAATTTCACTGTATTCAGGCTGCCTAAGGAAAAGTATTCATGGTTATCTTAGTTAAAACTGGTTTCACTCTGCCAACAATCAATTTGATTGACATATTTACATATCAACCCATCTCATCTTAGAAATTTTAAACTTTTTCACTTAAAATTGGATTCAAGTTGGCATCTTTCAAGAAGTTTATGTACGTATATTTTAGGTTCAAAATGTGCATTAGAACATTTTTTTTTTCCTTTGTAAGTAATAGATATACATATTCAAATGTAAATTTAGGACCTGTCAGATTGGATTTTTACATGCATGCCGTTGTCGTGTTACCATTTCATATGAAAGGTGATAATTTCAGGCAACTATAAATGAAACTCTTTTTAATAGTATAATCTGTATGGTTCCCTTAGTTAGATACAATAAAATGGAAAAAAACAACTAAGGAACAAAACCACATCAACTTTAGAAAGAACATTAGTTATGTGTTTAATCACTCTAGTCATCTTTTGTCATCTCTTACCTGATCTTTAATTTCAAGTTCCCTTTTAGTTTTTGTTCTGTACTCTCTGTGCTCCTTTTCTGCCTCATCCTTCTCCATTTTGGTTTTATTCAACTGATAGCGCATTTCTCCACACACCTGTTAGATTGTAAAAACAAGATCAATAGCTGCAGGAATCTACCAGGCAATGCCCGCAATTAGATCTTTTGGTGCCCCCTAGAGGTCATATAAATAAAGTACATTAGAAGTTTTCTAAGAATGGTGTTTTCTATTAGAAGAGTCTAAGTTTTGGAGATAGTATCAGGGATTATCAAATCTAATAACTTCAAATTACAGATAAAAAATGCCTAACAAAGGAATTTAAGTAACGTGCTCAAGATTATTTTATGTAAAAAAACAATTTCAGTTGCATATTATCATCCAAAATATACTATCAACCAAATCATAACTAGGTAAAATTATTCATTAAAATATTTAACAACATTATTATCAGCTCAAATTATTATGGTTAAATTAAATATTATAAAAGCGAGAATGGTTGTACAACTTGAAGAATGTAATCAACATTACTGAATTATACATGTGGAAATAGAGATAGTATTATGTTTTGATATGTATATTTTTACCACAATAAAATTTTTTAAAAATTAAATATTGTAAAATTTTCCTCGTAAGCCTTCATCATTTAAGTATTTAAGGAAATTTATAAAAGGATCTTTCTTTTTATCTGCCGATAGACTATATTATTGATATTTAAGTGTACAAAAAACAAATAAACAAACCAAACCCATTGCTGTCCAGTCGATTCCAACTCAGAGTGACCCTGTAGGACAGACTAGAACTGTCTCATAGGGTTTCCAAGGCTGTAAATCTTTAGGGACGAAGACTGCCACATCTTTCTCCCATGGAGCAGATTGTGGGTTTGAGCCACCAACCTTTCAGTTAGCAGCGGAGCACTTTAACCACTACACCATCAGGGCTCCTTATTTAAATATACCAAACCCAACCCAACCCATTGCTGTTGAGTCAATTCCAACTCATAGTGACCCCATAGGACTGAGTAGAACTGCCCCATAGGGTTTCCAAGGAGCAGCTGGTGGATTCAAACTGCTGACTTTTGGGTTAGCAGCCAAGCTCTTAACTACTGTGCCACCAGGGCTCCAAAAAAAAAAGGTTGTGATGTCAGGAGTGGGATAGAAACCCATGCCTCCAGGGGAGACTACAACCTGAACACCACACCTTAGACTACTCGGCCATTTAAATGTATAGTAACCAATATTTACTGCAAGCTTTGAAGATAAAGTCAATCTTATCACATACCATACTATGTAATCAATTTAAGAAAGATTTCTAGCAAAAGCAATAGACAGGAACTAAGCACACACCACATTTAAGTAAAATAGTTTTAATACTGGCAGTCCCCGGGTTACAAATGTCCGACTTACATACACCTGTAGTTACGAACCAACTCCCATAAAGCCTATTATATTAAAAAATTCAGGTACATACAATGGTTCATAATTACCAATGGGCACTAGTTTCAATACAAATCAAAACATTATTATTATTATTATTACTGTATTATTATGTTAAAGGTGTGTTATTGTATCTGGAAGTGTTTAATGCTTTTATGCATATATAATACTATATACTAACACAAACATTTGATTACCTGACATTAGATACAAACTGTACCTAACTATTCCAATTTACATACAAATTCAACTTTGAGACAATTTATACGATTTGTTTTATTTATTTTCAGGGCCTCTACAGACATAGAAGTATATTTTGAAAATATAATTAGCAAATAAATAGAATCTAAATAAAGAAATTACGTGCCTTTTGAGATAACTGAGAACTTGTACATAGATCAGTTAATACACAGCTCTGCTAAATCTGCTTCTAATTTACAAATACTAGGTTTTTAAAAATCATATTATACAATGGTTATACTTGTTTAATACTTCAATTTTGGTATTTCTCAAAAAACTGACTCAGGGAGCTTTAGAAATTAGTTTCATCATTACATAAGTACTAGCATCTTATAAAATCTTTATGCATTTCCTATGTTCAAATAAAAAATACTTTTTAAAATAAACTAATTTGGATTTAAAAGGTATAGTGACAATACATAAGAAAAAATCAATAAGCTTCTCCCCAGTGGCCCTCGGAAAGCTAGAACAAGAAGTAAATTACTAAAAATTCTATTTGAAATTCAATGCCTTCATTATGTGAGAGTTAAAACTTCCAATTTAAAAAATTAGTAACTTACAAAATGCTATTAATTTTAAAACCAAACAAAAGTTAACAATTAAAAGTGAGAAAATTAGAAGGGCCCTAATTTACTTTCTTTCTCAATTTTTCACTATTCAATTTATTTGATCCATGTCTATGAATAAAATGAAAAATCTCTAATCAATAATATCAGAAAATACTAATTATAAAACCAAAATGTCTAAAACCCAACACTTTACAAACTTATTATGTAATAAATGTCAAGTGTCAGGTTTTATTTAAAATTATGTCGTCCCTTTATTTTATTTTTAAAGTTCCCTTGCCTTCCTACTTTTAGCTTTCTATGTGCTAAATTTACCCATAACACTTAAATCTCATCTCAAGTGAATCAACAAATTAAGCTGAGCTAGAATTATATTATCTCAGGATGGGAAGCAACTTCAAGGCCATTTAGAACAATTACTCCTCTGATGTTTGAGTCCTTTTGGACAGTTTTAGAGACAGAGAATTCATTCTTTGCCACATCACATTTCAATGGAAAGTTCTCTCCCTATAATGAACTGAAAACTATCTTCCCACAGCTCTCACCCATAAATCTGGGTTGACCGTTGCCATCTCTCTGCATCAATCCCCTACCTCCACCCCACTCCCATACAAACACATCAAGTGTACTGGCAAATATGATCTTCTACATTAAAAAACACATTGCTGTCGAGTCAATTCTCACTCATAGTAGAACTGCCCATAGGGTTTCCAAGGAGCGCCTGGTAGTTTCCAACTGCCAACCTTTTGGTTAGCAGCCTTAGCTCTTAACCACTACATCATCAGGGTTTCCTCTTCTACATTAGCTAGCTTGAAGCTTAGAAAGCAAATGGAGAATTATAGAAATTCAACAAAAAAATAAAGGAAAAAAAAATTGGTTCCTTTTCCTAACACATAAGAGGAGTAATTTTAATTACTTTAAAACTTTTAATTTTAAGTAATTTTAATTACTTAATTTTAAAGCAATGATAGCATTAAAAAATGTGTCAAAATTTGGGAAAATATGTTGAGGAGTAAAATGCAATATGAAAAAAATAAATATTTAGTAGTGAAAAATAAATTGATTTATTTTATTACATCATGTATACCCATATTTACCTCCTTAATTTCAAAGCAACTAACTACTGAAATCTCGACTGACTTCTAGTGTTTCTTAAATATGTGCCTTATAGTAGCCATTAAGACTTCTGAACATTTTACTTCTTTGTTCACATAAATAAAGTAATATACCTTACTTATTTACAAGTTTGTCTCTGCCGCTTACTCCTTAAGTTCTGCAAGGACATGTAATTCATCTTTGTATTTGCAGCACCCAGCAAACGGCCTGCTGATAGTAAGTGAATGTTTGTTGAATGACCATTAGATGGACTTTTATTATTCTTGAAATTAAAAAAAAAAAAAAATTCTATTCCAAACTTTTTCCTAATACCAGTAAAAGCTTTGTATGTTAAGGAAAAGGTTTTAGAAGAATGTATTATCTAAAGAATTACTAGACTAAAATTTCTCCTTGTACCTTTGTGACATCCATTTCCCTAGAAGCGAGCTGGTTTTGAACTTCCTCTAGTTGATTAATAGCTGAAATCTTCTCTCTCGTAACCTTTTCCACCTGGGCTTCCAGTTGGGCAATATTCTGAGACAAAATCATCATCTGTAAGGAGAAATAAAAGTCCTAAACAATTATGTCATTTCACAAAATAAATACTAAAAATTTCTTGAATTAATAGAGTCTCCAGATGGTCACTAGGCTCTCTCTGTAAGTTATTTCTCTTTGTGGATTAGGTACGTCCATTCCTTCACCTCCTCATCTCATCTATCTCCAAGGACTCAAAATATGTACTTCCTCCCTAATCATTCCCCTGGTCTCTACCCTCATTTTGGAAAACATACAAGATGCTAACATCACAGCTTTGACTGAAACCCTAAGGTAACAGATATCAGACACTCAAGTAAGTTATGAGACAGACTGCCGTGAATAAATTTCAGAGAAGGTGCTGAGGAATCAAGTCTTAAACCCTTCTCACACATGAAACGCATAAAAGGGTTGATTGGAGAGTTGGAGATGAAGATTTCTTTAGAGAGAGCCACTGGTGTGCTAGGTGTCTCTGGGTGGTGTAAATGGTTAATGTGCTTGGCTGCTAACCAAAAGGTTGGAGGTTCAAGTCCACCCAGAGTTGCCATGGAAGAAAGGCCTGGCAATCTAATTCTGAAAAATCAGCCATTTGAAAACCCGAGAGAGCACAGTTCTACTCTGAAACACATGGGGTCCCCATGAGTCAGAATCAACTCAATAGCAACTAGTACTGATACTGGTGTGCTATGAATCCCATTCTCCCTCCTCCAACCCTAGCAAAGAGGAGGCTCTGCACAATTTCCTTTGCTGGTAAAACCTCACCAGTTCTCCCATTATCTAGCTCCCTACTATTCCTCCTATAGGATGCAGCTTAGGCATCATCTCCTCTCCTCCAGGAAGTCTTCCTTGACCACTAGCTCCCAATACAAAACAGGTGCCCCTTCACATACTCAGGTTGATATCCAGCTAATGTGCACTGGGACAGCTCTCCCTGTTGTTTACAGCTGGCATCCGTTCTCATTGATTGTTGTCCACGCTGTACTGGTTGTTTAGTACTTTGAATATCACTCTGGCATGTGCTCCTATAACAACCTCTGTATATCTTTACCACAGTAATTATCTGTTATGGACTGAATTGTGTCCCCCCCAAAAAATATATGTTGAAGTCCTAACTCGTGTACATGTGTATGTGATCCTGTCTGAAAAAAAAGCTTTTCTTTTGTTATTTTAATGAGGTCATACCTAAGTAGGGTGGGTCCTAAACTTAATCCTTTCTGAGTAGTGTTTTATAAAGGGGAGTACAAACACAGAGGGACAGACACACAGGGGAAAACACCATGTGATGACAGAGGCAGACCTATATCTATAAGCAGCAAAAAATGCCAAGGATCGACGCTGCCACCAGAAACTAGGAGAGAAGCCCGCGGAAGGACTTCACATGGCTACGACCCTGGTTTGGACTTTTAGCCTCCAGAATTATGAGCAAATAAATTTCTGTTCTTGAAAGCCACCCACTTTGTGGCATTTTGTTATGGATGCCGTTGGAAACTAAGACCGTATCTCAGTTTTTAGTTGCCTGTTTGCTCCCTCCTGAGACTAGAAGTCCTCAAGCTCCTCAAGAGGCTCCAAACATTTGATGAATGAATGAATAATTAGAATAAATGGCTTTTCCAAGGGACTCTATGGATATCAGGTTCTTAGCTTTTCTTCAGAAAGCAGAGCAAAATATAATTACAAACAAAAAGCTATAAAGGACAAATCTAAGCTCTAGAAAGCACTTCTTAATTTCTTATTTGTATGAGTAGTTCTAAAATAAAGTGCTATGTTACCTCAGAATAAAACATTTAGGGATACCGACTAGCTTTATCTATTAAAACAAGAACTGGTAACGATCTGAAATGATGACATTTGATATCTACCACTGTTCACTGACGTGGGTGTGAATTCAGTCCTCCAGCCGAAACCAGTAACTAAAATTCTGTGATAAAAATGAACACGGAACCAAAGTTTTAGATAAATAAAGAGTCTTACATCAACAAAAGCAAGATAGGTGTCTGCCTTTCAATTGTAGAACTAGCTAATGTTGACACATATGAAAATGAATCCTGGTAGCTATTTTCTAATTTAGGCAGTAGATGCATTAATTAACTTTTCTGGGGGTTGTGGACAATTGTATATTTGACTTACGGTTGTTTACGTGTCCTTCTCATCATCAGAAGACTGACTACAAATCTAATTTGCACATAAAATTAGTTTTACTAATACCGAGCTACAAAGTATTCCTAGGCACATTACAATCTGAACCTAAAATTGAAGGTCAAAAGAAGTGAAATGTAATAAACCAAAATATCAGTTTAATTTCCTTAATTTAAAAATTCAAGGTCACATGTATCCATATGATGTATGTATAATTACAGCTTTTCTGGAACCATACAACGGTAATAAGCCTTAATTGCCGGCTACTAAAAGTCATATGTTACTTACTTACATAGAGATACATCTGATAATAGGCATATTAGCTTTGTGTGGGTTTTTTTTTTAAGCAAATATGTAGACACTTATTTTTCTAATTGTACATTCTGAGACAGTTTCTAAGACATATATCAAACCTTGCCCTTTCCATATGATTCCCTCTCTGTGCCACCCATCACTTCTTTCTTCTGCCCACTACCTGTCTGCTCCCTCCTGTCACCCACTTCCTGAGGTCTCCCCTTCTGTTGTCACACCTTCTTTTCCCCTACACCCTCCATCTGGAAGTCAACATTACCCTGCAGGAGCTTCTCCATCCACATCTGTTGCAGAGACAGAAGTAACACAGACACAGCTGCAACACTGCTGGATGTCCAGGGCACTGACATCAGCTAAGTCCTTTAAACTTTGACAGGGGCGAGGAAGAGACAAGGACACCCAGGCTGGGAGAGCTTAATAGAAATTTCTGTGCTGAAGCAGTTCCTAGAGCAGTGAACATAGTGTGAAGCAGTACTCCCTACACAAGACATACAAGAATGAAGTACTCTAGCGATGGACTATTACCAGGGGAACCACCTGGAAAACGCCTGGACCGTAAGGGGTGCTCAGTAAATATATGCCAAATGACTGAATGAACTAACAAACTGAGTGGCTCAGTGCAATCAAGTACTACTACCCAAAAAAAACAAAAAGCCAACCCAAGCTTCATCGAGTCAATTCTGATTCATACTGGCCCTATAGGACAGAACAGAACTGTCCCATAGCATTTCCAAGGCTTGAATATTTTCAGAAGCAGACTGCCACATCTTTCTCCTGTGGAGTGGCTGGTGGACTCAAACAGCCCAACTTTTGGTTAGCAGCCAGGCGCTTTAACCTCTGCACCACCAGGGCTCCTAAGTACTATTACTGAAGACAAAAGCAAACTCACAGAAAGCACTATTCATAGGGGAATGACTCAACCTAAGTGGAAGGCATCCACTCTCCTAGAGTTATTCCTAAACTTCCATACAAATGGAATTTAAAAAAAGAAAAAGAAAGGCAGGAAGGAAAGAAGGAAAGAGGAAAAGAAAAGAAAAAGAAAGCTCTACAAGTCTTACCAAGGGCCTGACCGTTAGGAAAGCAGGGATGCCTACTCTAGCGCCAACTACATAGCACTTTACAATGTTATGATCAGTTGGTCAGTCTCCCTTCTAGATTAAGCTCCTGTGCGAGGCAATTTGATACTGATTCTCTCCTTTAATCCTCTTGGAGAAGGGATTATATTGGACTCATTTTAGATTTGAAAGAAACCAAGATTCAGAAAATTAAGTGATTTGTCCAAAGCACATTCAAGTTAATAAAATAAAAGCCCAGCTTCATATCCAAGTCTATCTGCTTTACTAACATGAAGATGCAAGAAATCTCTCCAATAAGGCTACTGGTTTCATTCTCCAAAGTCAGAATGATAGTAGTCACAAGCTGAAATTGATTAATGCCTACTCTAAGCCAGGTGTTACATTAGGTATTTTCAAAACATAATCTCATTTAATCTTATTAAGTCCTTGAAGTAGGTGTTATCAACTTCATTATGTACTTCTCTGAAACTTAGAGAAGTTAAGGGAAATTATTCAAGGTCACATAAAGGTCAAATTTGGATTCAATCCTAAATTTTTTTATTCCAAAGCCACCTTCTTTCATCTACATCCACTGCCTCTAAGCTCCTGCCTTTCCTGGTGAGGATGCTTTCTTCACTTTCAGCTCTTCATTCATACATCTTTATTCATGACTCAGAGTGGGCAAATTAAACTTGAAAGACTCATGCATTGTAGTTCTGTTGACACCTTTATTCATGAAGTGATTGCCTCAACCTTCCTTTTTCCTTTCATATCAGTAATTCTCATCAACATATTTTTATACAGTAGAACTATTCAGCAAGACAAAAGGTTTCTACTTTATAAACCAAGAAAATAAAAATCTCCTAGGTGTGAACAATACCTTGCTTTGCTATTGATACCATTCTCTTTCATACACAGTACTCAGTTCACAACTTTACCTCCCTTGATGCCTTATTCATGTTGGTTATAGCCAGCATGCCCTTCCTCCATACTCGGCATTTCCAAATCCTACCTATTCTTCATTGCTCAGTTAAATGCCACCTTCTCCACAAAGCTTTCCATGATCTCTCACAGACAGGGATCCATTTTGTTCCTCTGAACTCTTAGCACTTTAGGCATACTTTCCTAATGGCACAGGGCCCTTCCCCACTTGTATTAAACTCATTCATTCATTCATTCATTAAAAAAGAAAAAAAATAGGTCTCATGTGCTTTGGACAAGTTATCAGGAGGGACCAGTCCCTGGAGAAGGACATCATGCTTAGTAAAGTAGAGGGTCAGCGAAAAAGAGGAACACCCTCAACGAGATGAACTGACACAGTAGCTGCAACAATGGGCTCAAGCATAACAATGATTGCGAGGATGGCACAGGGTCGGGCAGTATTTCGTTCTGTTGTACAGAGGGTTGCTGTGAGTCGGAATCGACTAGACGGCACCTAACAACAGCAATGTATATATATACATATATATACAGAGAGAGAGAGAACATTCTATGTGAGAGGAGTGTGCCAAGCAATGAGTGTGTTTACAGATCATATGTTGAAGACATTCACAGTAAATCAGGGGAGACTGACAATTCAACAAGCATTTGTAATAAGCTGAGTTACGGGAGCACATAGAGAAGCTCCCAATTGAGCATTGGGAGGCTATGAGGGGAAACAGTATGACGACGAATCCTGAGGGATCAGTCAGAGAGGACAGAAGAAGATTCCTCTAGGCAGAGGGCAAAGCACATGCAAAGCCTGAAATAAAAACACAGTATGGCAAATCGGCATGTTTGCATGTTAGGGAACATGCAAACAGGTCAGTATGATGGGAATGTAAGGAAGACTGAGAGCCAAAAAGAGGAAGAATAATACAGAGGAGAAGCTGGCTTGGGAGATCAGTAGAAAACTAAAGATTTAGGAAAAAATAGCATATACAGTGAAACCTATGAGAGCTGGAACCTGCCTTGCTTTTTTGGGTCTCACAAGTTTTCCGTCTTCAACAGGGTGCAGTCTTACCACTTTTCTATCACACCTTTTAGTGGAAAATATCTGAGTTTTCCTTCTCTGACAGTTTTCCTTACACAGATTCTAGCTTTTGCAGGTTTTACTGTATATGGAATTAAAGTCCCAGATGTGTAAGACACCTAAAACTACAACTCCTGCTGCACTCTAGAACTTTCTATCAAGCTGTTTTCTGGATGTGTCTACTTCATTGTCTCAAAGCCACTTTAAACTCAGAGTAACCTAAAAGGCACACATTATCTTTTTCTCAAATCGAAAATATGGATTCAGAGAAATCAAGGAAAGAGAAGCTTTCAAGGATAAGAACTGAAAAATATTCACTCCGTTGAGTCAATTCTGACTCACAGTGACCCTATAGGACAGGGTAGAACTGCCCCAATAGGGTCTCCAAGGAGTGCTGGTGGATTTAAACTGCTGACCTTTTGGTTAGCAGCCAGGCTGTTAACCACTGAGCCACCAAGACTCCATCAGTAAACACATCATTGGTAATTTTATCAGCTGTGAGCATAGACAATCAAATGCAGCGTGCTGAGGAAGAAATAAGAGGTGACAGCACGTATGGACAAATCTTTCAAGAAGCTTGACTATTAAGGGCAAGAGAAAAGAGGGATGTGGGATTACTGAGGGAGGAGCCCTGGTAGTGCAGTGGTTAAGAGCTTGGCTGCTAACAAAAAGGCTGGCAGTTTGAATCCACCAGCTGCTCCTTGGAAACCCTATGAGGCAGTTCTACTCTGTCCTATAAGGTCACTATGAGTCGGAGTCTACTCAATGGCAACAGGTTTGTTTTGTTTTGTTTTTTCATTTTACAACCTTGGCTGCACATTAGAATCACCTGGGTAATTTTAAAAAATACTGATGTCTGGATCCCACTCTCAAAAATTTTGACATAATTGTTTTGGGGTACAGTTTGGGAGTGAGATTTTCAGAACTTCTCGTGTAGTCAAGATTGAGAACCACTAGATTAGAAGAAAGATTATTTCTTTAACAGAGGTGAGAAATTTGAGAATATTTTCCTATGTATGAGAGACTCTGTAGTGAAGGAAGAAGCCCCTGGGTGGTGCAAACAGTTAACATGCTCCTTTGCTAACTGAAATGTTGGAGGTTCAACTCCACCCACAGGAGTAAAAGACACCTAAAGGTATCAGAAGGAAGTCCTGGTGACCTACTTTCAAAAAGTCAGCCATTGAAACCCCTATGGAGCACAGTTCTACTCTGACACATGAGTTGTTACCATGAATCAAAGTCAACTTGATGGCAACTGGTAGTAAAGGAAAGGCTGAAGATTCAGAAGATGGGGTGGGGTGGGGGGTGGAAAAATGTAATGAGGTCCCTGAGATGGTGGAAGAGGATGCGGAGCTAGAACACACAGGAAAGGACTAGGATTAAGCCTCTTCCATTTTGTCAGGATTGGGATGCACTTGAAATTTTATTTTAGGGCAGAAGTGAGGGGGGAAGATAAATAGTAGAGGCAGTTACCGTTTAATGGTTTTTAAAGTTGGAGTCGACTCGACGACAATGAGTTTTTGTTTTTGTTTTTTTGGTTATTTTCTTTGTTAGGTAAGTGAGGCTCTCTGATGAGAATGGGGGGGAAGATGGTAGAGTTGAGAATTTGAAGAGAATAGAAGTGATTTTACATAAATGGGTCCAAGTTACCATTACTTCCCACCCAGAGTACTACAATTATATCACACATGATCTCCAGGCATCTATTCTGGTTCCCCCTTCTATCTATTGACAATGGTGCAAGTAGGATAATTTTTCTCAAATATGAATGACATCATGTCACTGCCCAATTTAAAGCCATTCAATGACTTCCCATCATTTTTTAGATAAATTTAAAATCCTTAACATAGTTGTTAAAGTCATGATTTGGCTCCTGCATACTTCTCCAAACTCATCCTCCACCACTCTGTCCCTCACTCCTTATGCCCCCATCACCCAGACCTTCTCTAAGTTCCCTGAAAGTACCATACGTCTAGCTTCAGAGTCTTGGGTGAAACTCTCTTCCCTTCCACTCTTTGCCTGTCTACTCCTACTCACCCCATGTCAAGGCTCATGTTCAAAAGCTCTTTCTTAGGAAAGCCTTTCATTACTGCCTAGACTAGGTCAGATTCCCCTGATACATGTTCTCACAGTGCCCTATATTGTACCTTCATATCTGTAACACAATGGTAATTAAAACTCATTTATGGAAGTATTGTTGTTTTCGTTACTTCATGCTCCATTTTACTCTAATGTCAGCAATTTTAAAGCTAGGTTCCAGTCAACTTCGTATTGCAGTTTACTATTTTTCAGTCAGCGTGCATTTCAAGTTCTCTGTTCCTTTTGCCTTTAATCTTTCCCCTCCAATTCATCTAGCTATCGTCAGCTATTGTCATTATTCATAATGTAATCTGTCAAAACCTACTTCCTACATTGTATAGAATCACTTTCTCTTGGTTTCAGTTTCTTACAAGCGTGTTATCTTATGCAAGTTTAATTTAGGGGTGGCAGATGAGGTGGGGGTCATCCCTCTCTGATTTAGCCAAGATTGAAAAAGGTTGAAACACAATCTGGATATCTGCTGAGCACTTGCTCTCCTCTGGCAAACAATGAGAGGGAATCAAACAGAACTGCAGGATTAAAGTCAATTTTGTAATTCTATAACAGGGAATCTAATTATTTTATTTGAAAAGGTCAGAGAAAAGAATGTTATTGAGAAATACATGGAAAACAGAATGTGTTTATGAAGTTTAAATTATTATAAGAAATTTGACTAAATTGTTGTTCTTAGGTGCCATCAAGTCGGTTCCGACTCACAGTGACCCTGTGCATAACAGAATGAAACACTGCCCGGTCCTGCGCCATCTTTACAATCGTTGATGTTTGAGCCCATTGTTGAAGCCACTGTGAAAACTCATCTTTTCAAGGGTCTTCCTCAGTTGCCCCACAGGGTTTTCCAAGGAGCAGCTGGTGGATTCGAACTGCTGACATTTTGGTTAGCAGCCGAGTTCTTAACTGCTGCACCACCAGGCCTCCCTACTTTACCAAGCCTGACTAAATAAAAGGTTTTAAAATATAAAGTTCATTCTAGAACTGCAGCCTACAGACTCATCAGGACATCACCACAAGCCTGTCTTCTGCAATGTGGATAACAAACCGAGTTAGGTACCTTTGCTTCCATGTCCTCTCTCTCTTTGGTTCTTTCTTTTTTCATCACCTCTTTCTCAAAGGCCCTTTTCTCTTGCTGAGATGCAAGTTCTTTTTCAAGTCGCTCTGACTGCCTCTTCAGCTCATTCTTCAACTGCTCACACTGGATTAGAGCCTGCCAGGGTAAGAGAGAGTAAAATGGCAGCTTAGAATTTGGAGAAGGAAGGGGAAAATGATTTAAGCTTAGTTTTATTTAAAATAGTAACAGTTCCCTGTAAAATTCATTAGAATAATTTTACATTTGTTTACCAACTCCACTCACTGATCTCAAACGGTATTCAAATGTTACATTTATTTATATCTTTTCACAACAAAGCTTACATTAACTAATCAGCTAAGAAAATTCAGGTAATAGATCTTGATGAGGATCACAGATGAGCCAGAATTTTGAAAAAAAAGGGACCAGAAAAACCAAGTGTTCTAGTATTTTTATTTTGTCATATTTATACTACATGAAATATATACATATCTAAACTTATTGATTTTTACTTGCTCATGATTAAAAATTATTTGAATACTTTAAATGATAAGTATCAAAAATCTTTAAATGAGATGTTGAATTTATCATTACATAAGGGCATCTATTGTTTAACATTATATAATAATCAAGTTTCCTCAAAGATAACTAAGACAGGATTTAGTGTACTCCCCTTACATACATAACTAATGTAAAAATTAGGTAGCAACCAAAAGTTAAGGTAAGGAGAGGCTCCAAACTGCACTCACTGCCTAGTTTTATAAAATGGGAATCGTCACCTTCTATTTCCGGTAATTTAAAAGTCCATAATTGACCTTTAATCTACATTTCTCACCCTACATTTCCAGAAATAAAAACTCTCTAACTTGCTTTTGGCTATATTCATGATATCTTTATGTATAATATCCCAGAATAAAATATGACTTTAAAATCCCAATAAAATGAAGGTTTAACATAGAGTATCTGAGTCATTCTATGGTGACTGTAATTTACAATATCAAAACCCCCCAACCTCTATTTTCCCCTGAATTGGTAGAAAGACACCCAAGTCTCATACAATTTACATACTGTATGATTATAACTTTGATAATCACATTTGTTGTTAATGTAGGTGAACATAGTCTCAGGGAGAATTTTAAGTTTTATATATTGATATGCTTCCCTCTGGTGAAAGCTAAAATAAATACAGACAAAAGATACATAGGATGTGAATTTTTCTCTCTTCATCTGAAAAGGATTAAGGCCCAATTTCTTTCAGACTTTTCTGGAAAGTTTCTGTTCTCCTAGTCATAAAGGATGAAGGTAAAATTCAATTGTCTCAGATTAACTGATGAGCAAATACAATGACTAAAAATGATTCTCTTAGGGAATTAGTCCCAAGTCCAACTGTAGCTGAATATGTCTGGAAAATAAAGTTTTAAATTAGATTTTAAAAGAAGTGAAAAAGTATAATTCTATTTTTTAAGCTCTTGGAGCCTGAAATATTATGGATTAGTAACTATTGTGCTTCTTGTGAAAAATGTTTTATTTGAACCCAATAAAAATGTTCATAACTTTGGCTGATATGACTATCACTGGTATGAATGAATAAAATAATTATTGAATATAAACCAATATTCTATATTTATTATATAAAGAAGGCTTTTAATTGAACAAAAACACAGGAGTCAGCATCACTAAATACAAGAACAAGGGATGGAGCTGCTGAAGATCTGAAGATCAGGCTAACATGAAGAGCAACTAACGAACCATTACAAATAATTCAGTCAACCCAGGAACAAAAAACAGTAAATGACTCTGGCAAGATAAGTGGACTAATGTCAAGATAAGCTAATATAAACAAAAAGCAAAAAGAAAGAAGTTGTAAATCACCTAAATAAAATCAATGCTGAAGCCTTGGTTTTGTGGATGACCTTCTCTATGTATCTGTATACCAATTCGTGATGATCAGTAAGTATGAAAGGAGAAATGAAACAATGAGAAAAATTATTAAGTTAAAAACTAGTCATCTATGTCTCTTGGTATGTAACTAATGATCATAAACTATAAAATAGCTTTTGCTTTTATTTGAATATACATACCTGGTCACAATGAAGGAACTATCAAGGCTTAGTAATACTTGGAATTAGAAAAGTGATTTAATCCTTTCGAAGATATCTCTCTTATAATTGACCTCGCATACTAGAAGATTTGGGTCTACCAAACCAATATCTAGTATCTATATACTATCTCCATTAAGGCTTTCTCATTTAACTCCAGAGCTGCCTCTCCTAGTTTCCAGAATTCTAGCTGATTGGTTATAGTCATGTAACCATTCACTAAAGATATAATAACTGAATTCTCAAAGGCTAGATCTGTAACTGGTCAATAGTAATTAACTAATAGATATTTGTAGTTGGCCAAGCCAAGTTGGGGCCATTTCCCCCAGTAGATCCCAGGATGCATGTATGGCTTATCCCCTTCCTTGGGCACAATCCCTCCTCGCTGGAAATGGCTTCAGGTCTTGGGGAGAAAGCTATATAGAATTACAATTTGCCCCCACCCACCAGACTCAATTTGGAAGAGACCCTTTCTCTTCTGGAAATTTCTTCATTTGTAACCATCCTATGCTGGCTACATTAACACATTTTTCAAAACATAATTTATTGGCCTTGATACCACTAGTCCTGGTTTTATTAAGCCAAAGGGTATATATTACTATCTTAACGAGGTAAAAAATTTCCCAAAACAAAATTTATATCCATTCAATTCCACTTTTAAAATAGGCAACCTATTTTAGGGCATGTGAAAGGCCTTTCCAACTGTTAGGGTTAGGTTCCTAGAAATCTTTGTGATAAGAGAATTCATGACTAAAGAATTTAAAGAATTAAAGATCTGATGAGAAATATAAGATTTACACTTATGAATATGAACTTAAAAACTTACGAACATGTTTTCATTTTTATAAAACAAATCCCACAAAGTAAAAACGATTACCAAAACATTTTAAGCATTTAACTTGTGAATAATATTAACTACTGATTTTCATTTATAATCTCTTGTGCACTGGAAATTTACAGTCTTTCCCTCTCTTTCATTTTCAAGATGTTTATAACTTGTTTTGCTGCATATAATGTGCATACCAAGAGGCATTACTTTCTATGCCTGTGCCTGCATTCAAATGCTCAGTGCCATTCTGATTTTTTTTTTCTTTTTTATTCCAGGTTTCTAATCCCTGTCTAATTCCAGTGTAGTTTAAGAAACAGAATAAATTTGATACTTGAAAAAGAATTTAAAAAAAAAAAGTTTTCTATAACGTTTATTCAATCTGCGGGGTTGGTATTTAAAAAAAAAATTTCTTTGGAAGGCTATCACCTTATGGATATGCTCATGGTAACTTCATGATAAAGCCCGTGCCTTCAGGCCCTCTCACAAACCTCTCAACAACTTCTAAACCTCTCAACAACTTCCCTTCTAACAGAATCAGGCAGGTCTAAGATCTGGTGAACCTTTTTATCTGTTTCTCACAGCTTTACCAAGGCATTACGGCAGAAGCCTCTACTTTTCCACCCTCATTTATTTCCAGGCTCCATTTTTTTCACTTTTAAAATTATTTCCAGTTGTCATCATTTATAATTTTCAATAAAAATTAACATTTACTGAGTACTTAACTATGTGCTAGATACTTTACTAAATGGCTTGCATGGATTAATTAATCTCCTCAATAACTCTTAAGTGGTTGCTGGGAAAAACCAAATCCATTTCACCTGACACCAAATGTGAAGCAAATCGAATGTATCTATTATCACGTCTGTTCCCCTCCGTTCCACTTCTATTCTGACACAAGCTACACATGCAGCATTTCTTCCTCTGACCCTAACCATATGGAGCTAGGTCAGACCTCACAAGTTAAAGGACACAATCCTCCAGACAGCCAAGTCTGCCTAAGACCTCAGATGCCAGCCACAAGCTCAGAGGTTCCCAGAGCTCCCCCTCACTTCTGAATTGCTGGTTACAAATTCAAGGGTTTCCCCTACCCCCTCAGGATACCAGCCATAAGCTTGGGGTGCCCTGGGCCCTCCCACATCTGACCTGCTGGCTCTCACTACTCCCTTGGGCTCAATAATTTGCTGGAACGACTCACAGAACTCACAGAAAGCACTATACTTATAATTACACTTTCATTATAGCAAAAATGATACAAATAAGGAGATCCCCAGGGTGAGGTCTGGGAAGGTTCCCAATGCAGAGCTTCTATGTCCCAAAGGATGCACTATCCTCTCACGTGCATCAATGTCTATCACCAACCAGGAAGCCCACGGAGCTTACATGTCCAGAGCTTTCGATGGAGGTCTCATTATGTAATTCAAACTCCAGCCCCTCTCCCCTGTAGTCAGTGAGTCCTTCTGGCATAGTTAGCCCCTACCAACATGAGCCATAAATCCTCAGGTGTGGTTGGAATCCTCATTAAAGACACTTCAATCATCGGGGAAAGTCCAAAGTTTTAGAGGTTCTCTCTCAGGAACCAAGGAAAAAGACCAAATTCTTTGACTGAAGTTAAATTCTTTAGCCCACAGAGGTTCTTATCACTAAGTTGAAGAAATTGAAGTCTTGAGACTTTAAGTAACTTGTCTAAGATCATAGACCTAGAAAGTGGCAGAGTAGGGATTTGATTCAAGGTAGTTTCACACCAGAATCTGTGATCTTAACCATCTTACTATATAGCCTCCCACCTACACTGGAATCAAATTTTTCACAGTTGAAGAAGTTATACAACAGTAAATCTGTGCAAACACTGCACGCTATTATAGCAGGGGGTTAGGCAGTGGTTACTGAATTAGTATTTTGAGGATGAAAGGAAGAGAACTGCTGTTTCAATACAAGTATATAACTTTTTCTGACTGACTTCAATGTGAAGAGTCTATGATTGTCAAAATATGGCACAATTAGTTAGAAAATACAGATGGGTCCTAATGCCTATCTGCCTAAGACATGTAATCCAGGAGCTTCAGAGAGGCAATGCACTCTCTTCCCATGCCATATAAGTTCCGAAGGTGAAACAGACCGGAAACATTTTAAATAAATATGAAATCCTGTCTAAAACTGTGCAATGGTTTATACCGAAAGCAACACTGAATAATAATGAAAGTAGGGGAGGGATTGGGGAAGATTAATTACTTCAATTTCAAAAGATGAGAGATACAGTCCAAGAATCTCTTTTCCTCTTAATAACCAATTTGGAATATAGCTATATCCCTGAATTTACCCCATCCTTTTAGGTGCGTATATTAGCCACTGGTATGAAAAAAAAATTCATTTATTAAGGGAATCTCTTTTAAAATTAAGAAGTGTTATCTTGTTAGGGTATTCTGGGATTTAGAAAGTTCGCCCTTTAATTAGCTTTAGTCAAAACTCCATTTAATATTAAAATTTTCAGAGTAAAGAGTATTTACTCTTTTTCTAATATTCTATAGAATTTAGGTGGGATCTCTTACCTTATCAGATATGCATAGCTTCACACTGAGATACAGTTATTGTTTTAATAATATACAGTGTTTTCATAAAGAAATCATTTAAAAATAATTTGGACTACTTACAGTAACTGAAGTCTAGTTAGTATTTTAATAATTAACAACTAAATATCAAATTAGTTGAAATGATCAGTTTCCAGAGAAATTTCTAAGCATGACATTATAATTTGCTCATGTCATACATTATTTTCTTACAAAATCTTCAGGCTTTTTCACCTCCACTATAAATGTATATACTGTATATAATATAAAATCGTTCCTTCTATTTATTGAGGATGTAATATACAAATGGAACACTAGATGGCAACACATATCAAGGAACTTTCACAGCTCAATAATAAAGGAGCTGGTTTTTAAATTATCTATGCCTTCTGACTTTTTTATGCTCTCAGAAAGCAAACTTCCTAATATGTTTCAGCAAACCTTCAAGATAAAGACAACTAGATTTCCATTATATTTTGTAAACTGTTTAGTAATCAATCCTTTCATTCATTATTACTAGTTCAGGGAAAAATGCCATAGATTCATAATACATAATATCCTCACTGCTTCTTACCTGTTTAATTTTAAAAAGTGATAATTACAAAAATCCACATTAACATTTAAAACTAATAATTTAGTTTAATTCAACAAACATTAATTGTGCAATTAATATGTAAATGACCATGTGAGAAATACAATGATAAGCCCCTGACTTTAAGGGGATTATTGTCTTTTGGTGGAAAGAGCTATGTAAACAGCCGTCGGAGACAAACACAACATTGTTAGGAATATCGAGGAGCCAGCGATTTATTCAGACAAGAAGGGGCTGGGAAAGTCTTCAGGGAAGACTTGAGTCTCAAAGGTTGAATCAATATTTCACAGATGAATGTATCTATGAATATACAGCAAAGTACAGCATGAGAAAATTCATGGAAATGGTCAATTGCAGGTCATGTTCTGGAAACTGCATAGGTTACATGAAAGAGTATGGTGAAAGATAAGGCTAGAAAAGTTAGAGTGGGCCAGATTGCGAAAGATCTGAAAGATCATACTAAGGAATTTGTTTTATTTTACTGTAAGATGGGGAGCTGCTACCTGAGCTTGAGATTTACAATTCATGAAAACATGGCAGCAATGTGAAACATACAGTGGAACTGGAAGAGACCCGAAGGAGACCAATTAGAAGACTATTGTACTCCTCTGCATAGACTGCATAAGAGTAGGTGACAAAATGAACCGGGGTAGGAGTATAGGAACGGAAGGGTGGGGCATAGATACGTAATTTCACAACCCAATTATTTTTTCCTTTTAATTTTTTGTTGATACTATGTTTTCAGTAATGGAGAACATGCTGAATCATTGAGTGTGTCTGAATTTTTGGTAGGTGATACAGTTTTTGTCTTATGCTTCATTCTACAAATCATACCTTCAGAGTCCAGAGGTACATATGCGTACCCCTTGTGAACACCAAATCTACCCCCAGAGTCCAGAGGTACGTATGTATACCGAATAAAAATTTTTAAAATTCATGTTTTTCCTATCACAAATCCAACAGTTCAGTAACACCTCATACCCAAACCCATCACCGTCAAGTCAATTCCGACTCACAGTGACCTTACAGGAACTGGGCTGCTAACCAAAAGGTCGGCAGCTTGAATCCACCAACTGCTCCTTGGAAACCCTATGGGGCAGTTCTACTCTGTCCTATAGGGTCACTATGAACTGGAATTGACTCAATGATAATGGGTTTGGTTTTGGGTTTAGTAGGTGGGGTGGGGGAGAAGTTTTTGCTTAGGGGGCATGCTAATTGTGGTAGAATAAGTTAGAAAAGGATAGCAATAAAGGTTGTACAACATGAAGAATGTAATCAATGTTACCGAATTATATATGTAGAAATTTTTGAATGGGAGAATGGTTTTGGGGTGCATATTTTCCTTACACACAAAAAAAATCCTATAGCGGGAGGTGCGGTAACAGTAAGGGAAGAATTCAAGAAAAATTCAGAAGGTAAGATTTGTTTTTAGTGATTGACTGGAAGTTGGGGCTGAGAGAGAGGATGGCATTCAGTCTTCTGGCCAGGGCACGTTAGTTAAAGAAGTAGAAGAAGCAGCATATTCAGGGGTGTGAATATAATGAGTTCAGTTTGGGATTCCTATTTAAATAGGAAGGGGAGAAGGCCAGCATTCAGGAGGCTGAAGAACTAGAGGAAAGAATGAGGACATTGCATAGATTTAACTGGGATAGGAAGGGAAGAAAGAGAAAAAGAGCTGGTCAGAGAAGGCAGTTTCAGAATTGAGATTTTCGGACACTTTAGTTCATGTGGAAGTTAAAGTGGAGTAGGGGGAAAATATCAGAGGCGTGTTGAGACTGCTGTTGTTGTTGAATCAATATTCGACGCATACGTAAAGTGTTGCATATATTAACAACATGGCTGTTGAAACCTTTAAGGATAATGAAAGGAGATAGACCGGAGGGGATAAAGGGTTTGATGCTAAAGCTCTTAGAAAGTGTCAGAGTGTCTTCTAGATTGATAGTTTATATTAATTAGGATTAGGGAAAGGAGAGTTGACATTCACTCCAAAGAGTAGCAGTAACTGAAATTAGGTCCCAAAACAAAGCCAGGAATGGCAGTAAGGAGTGAAGTGAGTGCTGCTTCCTCCATCATCATGCCAGGGGGTTAGTAAGTGGCAAAAGGGCCTTTGCTGAAGGTTGGGATGGTCATGATATCATCATGGGACAGCTAGAGTTCAGTACCAAGGAAAAACTGGGAGGCATGTTTGAAGAAACAATCAAGTATGTTAGGGAGTTTGTCCAGAATGAACATAAGTTTCAGAAGACACAGAAAGCATCAATAATGGAGGCCAAACCAAAAACCAAATTTGTTGCTGTCGAGTCGATTTTGACTAATAGCAACCCTATAGGACAGAGTAGAACTGCCCTATAGGTTTCCAAGGAGCGGCTGGTGGATTCAAGCTGCAGACCTTTTGGTTAGCAGCTGAGCTCTTAACCATTGCGCCACCAGGGCTCCAATGTAATGCAGGCAGTGAGGGTCAAATCATGTGGGAGGAGTTAAGGATGAATTGGATAGAAACAACTGAATAGAAAAAGTTACAGACTCACTGAGTTTGCAACTACCATCATATTCATGGTTTCTAAAGAGAGGGGGTGGGCAAGTTTTCTGGAAGGATAAAACAATTACTGAGAAGAGGTGTAATACAGAATTGAACAGCCCCAATCTTTTAATAAAATACTGATAATACTATATGGTTTAGACTACTGCTGTCCAATAGAACTTTCTATGATGATGAAAATACTCTGTATCTGTGCTGTTCAATCCTATAGCCATTAGCTACATGTATCTAATAAGTACTTGAAGTGTGGCTAGCGTATCTGGGGAACCGAATTTCTAATTTCATTTAACATAAATTTAAATAGCCAGGAAAATACATAGCAACTTTAATGGATTAAGATGTTCCTTAATTCATTCACAGCAAAGAATCACTGTTACCTACTATTCTTCAGTGGAATATTCTAATATATCATATAGAAATAACCTAATATAAAGGGCTTGGAATGATGTTTGAAACCCAGTAAATGACCAATAAATGTTAACTACTATTGTCATTATCATTACTATTAAATATGTTTGATTTAACATACAATGGATCTAGACTCATAGCTAAAGATGCTATTAAATACATACTTATTACTTTCTGTGGCATATTTGGATGGTCTCAAAATTTCCGACGTACAGAGGAATGACATTTGTCTTTAGTCACACATGAACATATATAAACTGGTGGCTAGGGGTGTTAAGATTTTCAAAGTATTAAAAGTAATCAGCAAACAAAAGATTAAACATACAAGTCTCTCAAAGCACTTTACCACACTGCACTATATTCTGTGAATAGTGATATAACAAGAGTGTTTCCAGAAGAATAAGAATTCTTCAAATAGTAAAATTGTTTAATTGAAAAAAGTCAACATTAACAGGTTGGTATTCACTATGTGTATTTGCAAAACAGCACTTAGTTCTGGAAGAATAACCAAAGAATTACTCAGACAAAAAGAAAAAAAAAACAAAAAGCAATTACGCCATGCCTTTATTTTAACCTGATTAGACTTGCCTTGGTTTTTTCAAAATTGGCTTCCTCAGTCATTTGCACAGCTTGTTTCACCTGCTCATAAGCACTTGCTTCTCTTTGCTGCACATCCGTCAAGCTGCTCCTTATGGAAACTAGTGCAGACATTAAGTCATCTCTTTCTCTGTCAGCAAAAAAGAACATTCGCAACAAGAAATGATCAAACATTTGTGTAGTTATAAGTCAGGAAGAGAAAAGCATTAATATGTATCAGAAGAGCCAGGGCAGGCCAGCTCAGCACATATATATGAAAGCGAGCCCCCGAGAAAGGCCCTCAGTCCTTACTCGGGGAGAGGCAGGCGGAGCAGCCAGAAAGGCTGAGAGCATTCATGGCAGGCCTGCATCTGGGCGGGACAATAACCTATTGTGGAAGGAACTGGCACACTCACAGCTGCAGATGAAAGCCCAGAAAAGAGGAAATTAGTCCAAAAAAAAAGTAAGGCTGGAAAGGAAAAAAGCAACAAAATAGGGAAGGTGGGGATTGTATCTCAATGTGGAAGGAACGCTTTTTTTTTAAGAAGGGACTACTAAAGTTTTGGTTACACTGCTGATTTGCTCTTATTTACTTGAACAAAGTTATGTCCTTTCCTTTTCATCCTCCTCCACAACTCTCTTTTTTGCCCTTTCCTTTCAATTAAATTCTCTCCTTCATCTATTTAGTAACACATTCTCTTCTCCAAGGGTAGAACTACTGAATCCCTCAAGTGCCCTGGTCATGCCTATAATGCTCGCAATTTAATAAAATCTCATCCTGCTGGGTTTGCTCATGGCCTAGCCCCGCCCCCTCCTCAGCAATTCTCAGAAGCACCCTAAGCTAAGCTATTTATTGGGGGTAAAAGTGAACTGAATGCTAAAATGCTTTGGCATGTAAACTGGAAAGGATCTAATCTCCTGTGTTAATAAACTCCATATAAAAACATTCCAGGATAACTGGAATTCATCCACTGAAGGAAAATGACCAGTAGACCAAAGGAAGAGGGGGGCGGCTGAGACAATGTGTACATTAAACATATACACAAAGCACAATCAAAATAACAGGCAGGAATTGTTGATAAAGGAAGAGGCGATGATTGCATTAAGTCCCTGTTAGAGGTGTTAAAAAGTTATTTGAAAGATAGGAAGAAGGATTTTCGAATTCATTTCTTATAGAGTCATGTTCTGTACACAGCGAAAAAATGTATGTTGAACTCTTTTGTAAACTACTGTGAAAGGGATCAAGTTTTAAATGGTGGTTTCAAATTCAGTTGAAACACTGCCTGCAGTTTCTGTTTTATTGCCAAGTTCTAAACTATTGGCCAAAAGGCAACTGTGATTTTTTAAAAAAATTTAGCTGACTTTAAGGAGCCATAGTTTAAATTGCTTTCAGAATTAACCAATGTCTATATTCAAAAATCTTTTAAAGATAAAATAATTTCAACTATTTGTGGTATTTGAAAAGCAGCTGTATTTTAAGAAATAAGTAATACTGAGCTAAGCTACATTAGCAGTTTCACAAAAACTCTTTTGTTGAAAGACAATAAATTGCTTCAAGTATTATAAAATTCATGCGAGCATGGTGAGCTCCATTGTAGAATTTCCTGATTTCTTTTGGTTTTAAATTGAGAAACATAACTTAGTTTAGATATTTTATTCTAAAGAAAATGATCAAAGGTAATTGATGAAATATAGTCAAACACAATAATAATGTGAAAAAGTGAAAGAATCAAAGCAAGATTAAATTATTCTAGTTAAATAAAAAACACAAAAGCAATCAAAATTTAATATTTATCTGTATTTCTAAAAAAAGTCTCATAACATGAAACAGTCTAGCTTCATGTAGGATACATAATCTAGCTAGGACCTGTGGTTCTGGAAGAAAATAAAAATTTACTCTTTAAGAGTAGCAAGTCAGTATGGGCATCATATAGTCACCTTTCTTAAAGCTCTAAAATCTAGTGAAAAGCAAAAGTAACTATTCAATGACATTCTTATTTGTTCCTGATACCATGCCCTCCTCAAAGCCAAAGTTCCAAATAAAAAGAATTAACAAAAAAGCTCTGTGCTTATATATATAAGTAGACATATCACCAAACCCACTGCCATCGAGTCAACTGCAAGTCTTCAACCCTATAGGATGAGTAGAACTGCCCCATAGGGTTTCCAAGGTCACAAATCTTTATGGAAGCAGACTGCCACATCTTTTTCCTGCAGAGTGGCTGGTAGGTTTGAACCAATGACCTTTTGGTTAGCAGCCAAGCGTTTTAACTGCTGCACCACCAGGGCTCCTTAGCCATATCACAGCAGGATTAAAATCTAACAAATTTCTTCTTAAGGGAGACTTATATTTACTACATTTAATCTCTTTCAGAATATCGTCTTGCCAAGAGTATGCAGTGTCTGCCACACAGTAGATACTCAATGAAATGAACAACAAAAGAACAAATGAATAAAGAATCTGCTATAAGATGGCATCAAAAGAGGTGATACTAAGCTCCCTTCAAGTTCTAAGATTTTACTACCTAAATTTAAAAAGTCACTAGACTATTTGAAATTGGAAATGAAAGAATTTAGCTTCCTCTGGATCAAAAATTTTTCAGAATATTAACTCTTCATTGTCAAACTGTTGAACGACAGAAAATCATAGAAGATAAACCCCTAAATACCTACATCTTGTTAAGCTCATGGTTCAACAATGAGACCATGAAATCATATAAATAATCCATGTAACCACTAGACTGATACACTCCAACCTTCTGCAAATAGATTATATGCTTCAAGGTGGCCCTCAGACCATTTGGGTAGTTCAGGAGACATTCCTAAATGACACCTACACTAGGAGGTACAGGTGGCCATTTTGGCAAGTAAGGATTATCCACTTTGTTGCTATATTTTGGGTTTTGTTTTGTTTGTTTTAACTTAGCCTATATCAAATAGCAAGTACTCCAAAAGAAGCAGCAGCAGCAGCAGCAGCTCTGACATGGCAGCCCTGTCCTCAGTGCATGCTTCCTGCCCCATTCCTACGGCCATCACCTTCTTGATTTATCTCCCATTTTCAGCCCTACACTTGTCTCTTAGGTCTGACAACGTACTCATTATCTGGCTGGAGATCCTCTGCTGCGGTGTCCCTCAGAAACAGTCCATTCCAGCCATCCAGGGTAACAACAGTCAGCTGCAGCCTGCCCCAGCGTGCCCAGTCACAGGGCTGGCCCACAGCCAGGCCTGAGTCTTTCACAACAGGAAGTTGTACAGATACATGTCAAGAGTGAGAGGGCACTCTTCCAAACTACCATGTTCTACAGCAAAAGTTCTCTAACCGCTCACTAGCATCATGCGAATGTTTTGATGAGTGTGATCAAGCAGTGTTGTGCAGCACAGTAAGCAAAACAGTGTTGATGCTGCAACATTTCATAATCGAGATGAAGGAGCAGCTAAGGCAGAAAGATGAGGTAAGGAGCTTGGTGTCAGTTCTGGAATGAAAAAGCATGCACTTACACAACACTAGCAAGCATGTAATAATTAAGGAATTTACTGCAGCAATCAGAGCAAAAAGAACTGAGAAAGTCCCTGAATAACCTTGGCCAAACGTTTAAGATAAAGAAAAAAGAAAGTTGGTCTAATAGGTACGCAATCGCTTTATCTTGATATATGGAGTGCCTAAAAAATGCCTTATGATTCCTAAGTTATTCCACAGTTATTACCACTGTTTAGGCATTATTAAGCATCATTAATAAGCATTATTACCACAGCTTTTCAGAAGAAAGTCTAGAAGGCTGACTACAACATTTCCTTGTTCCTCATTTCTGGGAAGTTCCTGGCTACAATCTTGCTAAGGCCACAATACAGAACAGTGCCAATGATCCATCCCCAAATCACAAGCTGGACTAAGGTCCCAGCACAGCACAGTAGCAAGAACTTCTCCTTTTTGAAAAGTACACTGAAACTTCTCCAAAATATTATGTGCCATAGAAAGGAATTTAATATAGAACAGTTCCCTCTCGATTACCATCCTAGATATCCTGATCATTAAGCAAGAAAAAGAGGTTACTGTTTCTCGTAGCTACCTCATGGCACAGTGAGGCCTGAGTGAAAGGTAGAAGTTCAGAAACACCATGAAGACTTTAATATCAATTTTAACAACATATCCAATGTCATCAACAGTTGTTAAGTATTGTCTCCAAAAAGTCCTAAGGTCCTAACAAAGCATCACAAAAATATGGATGGTCTTGTCTCCAAGTCCTGCCTGACCCCCTCCTTGTCAACTGCACTACTCACTCTTGCGTAATACATTCAATACAGTACACGCTAAAGGAAGCAACAAAGGAGCTGTAACTGGTGTCACAATATCACTTTCAAAAGAGGCCAGGAAACTCTTCTGATTTATCCTATTTGGGAGATATATATATATATAAATTCTATATGAAAGTAACCCAGGAAATACAATGATAACAGCTTACTGTGGGGCTCACGCTTCTAATTACACATAAAAGATAGGCAAACCTAAAAGGTATTGACTACTCGTCAAAGTCAGCACGGCACTCAATATTCAATATCCTGCATTAATAAGTTGAAAGAAGTACAAACCAGCTTAGGCCAAAGGAGTCACATAGTCAAAGATTTCCACAGACAATAAAAGCAGAAACATTTCACTGTATTCTGTTACTAAAGTAGAATATAAGCTAATGATACGCTGACAAAGCAGAAAATTGATCTAAGAAGGTTGACATTTACTTTAAGAGGCTAAGAGCTCAAATTTAGGATAGAGACAAAGAAATAGATAACTGAGTGAGAATGTAATTTTTGAATGACTGCCAGACTTGGAACCAATGTAAACATTATTGCTTCTTTTTACAAATATTTCTCTCATTATTTACAAGGATAATATGGAAGGCAATATAATAGGAAAAAAATCCAAAAAACCCTGTGTTTCATTTCTTGGTTGGTTTTGCTAGACTACCTAGTTAACTCTGTCGTGTTTAAATTTATGTGATTTTGAATATGCTTCTTCTTTTTTAAAGCAATTTTTTATTACATTCTCCTTGTAAAATTAATTACCAATATGGTTAAGGACCTATTAGGCTCATACTTTCAAGTCCAATGCCTTCTTCTACTTCTCCAGTGGAAACTACTGTTAAATATTTGGTGTTTAACCTTTCAAATCTTTATCTATGCTTCTCTATGTATATGTATGACCCTAGAGAAAATACATCGTATGGCTGTGTGTGGACTTTTTTCTTTAATACAAATGATTTTGTACCAGGTGCCTCTTTAGCCATATTGTTTTGTTTTGTCTTTCTTTCAACAATAGATGTTGGAGATTGTCCCACATTAGTACACACAGATCCCCCTCATTCTTGTGTTTTGTTTGTTTGCTGTATATAATATTTCATAGCTTGACTAAATGATGCTTAGTTAAATCATATGTAGTTAAAAGATATTTAGGTTGTTCACACTATTATAAACAATGCTACAAAATCATTCCCTATAAATGTTCCATCATGTATGTGCACGAGTTATTTTTTGAGGATAGATTTTGAAACGTGAAATGCATAATTTAAATATTAATTTAAGGAAAAAAACCAAACCCCGCTGCCGTTGAGTCGATCGCGACTCATGTAAATGGGCAGTGCTAAATCACCCTCCAAAGCAGTTGTGCTGCCTCCAGGTCAGGGGTGCTCCGAACACTCATGCACAGAGAGATTTAGTAACCTGCCCACACAGCTGTTCCTGCCCTGCCTGATTCGTGACATGGAAGAAGTGATATGGGGTCTTCTCCTCTTGCTAGCCAGCCTGCCTGCCTTGGAAGCCAGTGACATTGTTCATAAAGACACTCCCTTCTACTATGGACTGGGAAGGCCTCCAGCTTGGTGGGATGATCTGTGCAGGGCTCCCCTGCATCGCGGGAATCATCTTTGTTTTATGTAGCAAATGCAAATGCAAGTCTGTTCAGAAGCACAACCCCTTACCTGAGAAAACTACCCTACTCATCATTCCAGACTCTGCCAGTAACTGCTGAGCTTCATGGAACTCCAAGACTAACTTGCCCCTCTCTCCTTAAACTGGCCTTTTGCCACTCCCTCCCCATCTGGGGGCTTTAACCTCCAGGGATCTCTTCCTCTCCCAGGGCAGCCCTTAGGCTAGCTTTTTTTTTCAATTAAGAAAAAACCAGGGTATGAAAACACTCACGTACTCATGAACTTAGCAGCTTTTGCTATTATCACTTCTGTCATTTCTGTCAATATGATGGAGTTTTTAAAATTTTTAATAGTATTTTCTTGAATACTCACTGAATGAATACCTTCTCCTGTAGTGACATATTTCTCTTTTATTAGTCATCCAATCTTACTCTTTACACACTTTGCAACTGGGTAGTTGCTCCTAGGTGGCACAAAGGGTTTGTGCTCAACTACTAGCCTAAGAGGTTTGAGGTTTGAACCCACCTAGCAGTACCACAGAAGAAAGGCCTAGCAACTTCCTTCCAAAAGGTCATAGCCATGAAAACCCTACTAAACAGAGTTCTACTCTGTAACACTCTGTTTGTGGATCGCCATGGGGTGGAATCAACTCCACAGCAACAGGTTTGATTTTGGTTTTAGTTTCTTTTTTTGTTTGTTTCAAAGGAAATTCTTTATATATTGTACCAATCTTTTGTAATGAATGGTGCAAATATTTTTCCCAGTCTTTTAATGTAATTTTTAATATTTTGTAAGAGGGAAGTTTTTTTTTTTTTTTTAATGAAATGTATCAATCTTTTCCTCTATGGTTTTCACTTTTCATGTCATGGTTTAAGACTGTAATTACCCCAAGGTCATAAAGATGTTTTTCCATATCTTCTCTGGTACTTTCATAGTCTGAACTATATCTGGGCTCTTAAACTATCCTGAATTTATTTTTGTTAGGTGTGATTCTATTTTTCTCCCAAGAAAAACAGGAACATTTTTAACTTCTCATAGCCTCAGTCTCCCTACCTTTAAAATGAAGGTCATAATATCTACCTCACACAAGCTTCTCTAGGATTCAGAGATTATATTTTTTAATTGCCTGGCATAGTCATTGAATATATAGTAAATGTTCAATCCATCTTACTTGGATCTAAAAATATATTTAATAGTTAACAAAAAAAAAGGGGGGGGATCCTCAGCACAGATCATGAAAACTACCAGTCTTTAACTGGAGAAATTTAACAACCAATAGGTTAGTCATGTGTGGAAACCATAGCTACCAGAATTATTGATTGTTCTTGGAGTATGGGAGGTACAGAAGAGTTTTAATATTCATTGAGGACTTACTATATGGCAGAAACTGTTTTAAACACTATATAGGTATTCTCGCAATGACTCCTCAAAATCACCCTATGAGTTAAGTATTTTTATCCCCATTTTAAAAACAAGGAAATTGAGGCACAAGAGGTTAGATAACTTTCCCGCAGTTACATAGTGGGTTATCCTCTAGAAGTGAATAAAATTGCAGGAAATAACTAAGATACTAAACTATGGAGCAATTCATGATCAAGAAATACTGTGATCTATTTTCTACCACCTACAAAAATGGATGCTATCATAAACATCTGAAAATGCTTTGTACTATTCAGAAGGAATGGATTATACATGGATCTTGGCTGAAAGCAGAGAATACCAGAAAGATGTTTACCTGTGTTTTATTAAGTATGCAAAGGCATTGGACTGTGGATCATAACATTGCGAAGAATGGGAATTCCAGAACACTTAATTGTGCTCGTACGGAACCTGTATTTAGACCAAGAGGCAGTCGTTCGAACAGAACAAGGGGATATTGCATTGTTTAAAAACAGGGAAAGTGTGCGTCAGGGTTGTATCCTTTCACCATACTTATTCAATCTGTATGCTGAGCAAATAATCCGAGAACAACAACACAGTGGGTTCTTATTCCAGTGCACTCATAATATTTTTCACAAGAGGCATACAGTGAAGATGTGGTAGTAACTCACTCTACTTAAATTACAGCAGGATAATCTAAGATATGGCAAAATCAAAAGAACCCCTCCCACACTCACGTTTTGTTAAAAATAGGGGTGGATTTACAGCCATAGATTCATAGAACTGGGCAGAATTATAAAGATTATCTAGTTCAGTTCTCTCACTTCACAGATAAGACTGAAACCAAGATAAATAAAATTATTTATCCAAAGTCACATGGTTACCTACAGTTGGCAGAACCTACCTATTCTGTCATCAATGAAGCTACCTTGAAGGAACCTTTTAAAATTCGTTTTATTTGAAGCTTACATTAATCTTATCTGATTTAGCAAGGGGATAAAAATACACAATGCCCATTAAGGATATAATTTTCCATGTTGCCAAAGACTCTGTGTGTATAAGCATACTTACTTAGTCAGTCGTTCAATGGTCTGTACATGAACATTGTTATGAGTTTGGGAAAGAACAGCTTCATGCTGAGCACACTTCAAACAAAGACCACCAACACGATTAGAAATATTAGCAGTGAGAAGAGACTCTTTATGCTTCAGTCGCTCTTGAAGATCTTCACATTTTTTCTGATATTCAGCTAAGTCTTTCCTAAAAAAGTGGGAAAAAACAGAAAATCGGTTCTAGTAAATGGACACATAAAAGTCCACTACTTTCAAATGTACCATAATAGTGATAATAACTACTACTATCACTTATAAGCCAAACATCTCACAAGGTGCTTTGCGTACGATACCTTATTAATTCTTATTACTACCCTGAGAAGTAGGTGTGGTATCCTGACTGATATGCTGAATAAAATGAGACTTGTATATATTAAATAATTAGCCTAAATTCTTGGAAGAGTTTAACACAGATTTGTCTGGCTCTGATGCTGGCTCACTTTCCACAGGATCCCACCTCTGTTACATTACATTACACATAAAACAAAAGTACAACTCCAAATGCAAACACTAAATAGTTTTGCTTAATACAGAGGAAGAAAGAGGCATAACACAATGCTCTTAATGTGAGGGAAATGTCCTATTTCAGATGTCAACCTCTTAAAGTACAGTTTGTAAAGAGTACCTTAAAAGATCACCAAAAAGATCATGGACTTTTATCCATGACTAAACTATTACTGCTCATTTTTCTTCAGGAGGAAAACATAAAAAAAAAAAAACAAAGAAAAAAAAAAAACTAATGACAATATCCTACAAAGGGCTGTTTAAAAAAAAAGTAGGCTAAAGAAAGAAGTTACACAGAACTTGGTAGTCATAAGACTTTATAAGTAGCTGCTATTGGCTGGAAATATGCAGCTTGTTAAAAGAAAAACCAACCCCCTCCTCCCCCCACTAAAAAAAAAAAAGAAAAAACCAAACTCTTTGCTGTGCAGTGGATTCCAACTCATAGCGACTCTATAAGACAGAGTAGTACTGCCCTATAGGGCTTCCAAGGAGTGGCTGCTGGATTCAAACTGCCGACCTTTTGGTTACAGCCAAGCTCTTAACCACACCACCACTAGGGTTAAAAGAAAGGGATGGGGAATTGTGTGTGTTTGTTTTTATTTTATGGGATAGCCCCTGGTTGAGGTTTTTTTTCAAGTTGGCTATTTATGGTTAAGTGAGAAGTGGATAGGTTATATTTTCCTCTATCCCCTTAGTAAAGCTTTTGTAAAGTCAACTTGGGCAATGGAGCTTTCTTGCCTGGACCTCATTTTCCTACTGTATATTTAAAAAGCAAATAAACTTTCTGAGCTCAAAAAGGAGAAAGCTGTCCTTAATAAGCTCTTGGACTACTGAAGGCAGGCACTTTACCTCTGGCTTAGTCTACTCTCTGGGGTAAAAGTTGCTACTATACTCAGGGATCTATAGCTATCCCAACTTGCTCACTGTCCCAGAGGAGAAGCTAACAACCCAGGTACTTGGCTGTCATACACCACCCAACATTTCGGGTTTGGTGGGCTTTCAGGCAGCCTGGAGGAGATGGAAAAGATCCTTAGGCAATGTAAGGGTTAGAAAAAAAGCTAATCTGATGACAGCCTCAGGCTGAAAAAAAAAGGTGGGAGCTGTTCTGCCCTATGAACAAGATAATATCTCCCACATAACAAGTTTTAAGTATCATGTGGAGAAAGTCTGACTTTCAAAGGCTTTATAAAAAGAACTCTGGAGGCACATTCCAAGGTCATAGGGTCTCCATTACTATTTCTGTCAGGTTTAAACCCAAAACACTAAAGTAGATTTGCTTACTCGAAATGGCAAAAGAGAAAATGAAAAAGAAAAAGGTGCTATTAAGCTAGCGTTTCTAAGAGTAGTGATTTTATTTCTTCAACAAAATGTCTTTTAATAATCTTAAATTATGCCAGAAGAAACGGAAGGCAGAGAACAAAAGTCTAGTTCACTACAACTTGATATGTTAATGTGATTAAAGATGGCATTTTTGAATTCTGAATGAGATAAAATAAGTCACATCTCCATATGTATAATGATCTAGAAACATATTACTCTAAAAACTGAAGAATCAAATCACAATAGAAATCAAAATATAAAAAAGTAAGAGAAGAGCAAGAAAACAAAAATTAGACCATTTTTTAAATATTTACTTTATTGCCACTATTTAAAATAACCTTTAAAAAATAAATTAATTTAAGGATGTAGAGCATAATTCTAACTCACAAAAAAAAAGACCAGATTTACTGGCCTAAAGGAGACTGGAGAAACCTCGAGAGTATGGCCCCCAGGCACCGTTTTAGCTCAGTGGTGAAGTTACCTCCGAGGTTCACCGTTCAGCCTGGGAGTGGACAGCCCCATAAAACCAAATGAGACTAATGAGGTACAGGAGTCCAGTGACAAGGGCCAGAAGGCAGAAGGGGACAAAGAAGCTGGTGATAGGGAACACAAGGTTGAGTAAGGATATTGTTGATGTGTTGTGAGATTGTTAACCATTGTCATAG